ACAAACGTGTGTAAGTCGGACCCCCGCCCCACCTGGTACAATCAAGAGATGCAGCACACCGGATAGCTGAGTTAGCAAGGAACCTATACTTGGTCCACAGGCTAATGCAATACCTGTATGAACAATAACAAAAACAAAAGCAGCCAACTTTGCTTGTGAATTATACAGATGAAGGGGAAGCAACGTCCAAGAGGAGAACAAGTCTAAATTGCCGCGAATTACAGCTTCATTACACAGTTATAATGCTTGTCTAACAACCACAAGTCTTAAACTGCCGAGGACGCCCAGCTAGGTCTACAACACAAGAAGCAAATAACACCACAACGGTAGGTAGGGATAACCAGTTGGCGAAGTCAAATTACAAGAAAGTAAATACTAGTTCACAAGAAAAAACTGCTCAAACAACACATATGAAACAGGTAATGAACCAAGCCAGACCAGCTTCCAGCAAGCAGAATGGCATAATAGAGTGATCACTGGTATAACACTGCAATCTTGATCTGATCGGTTTCTGAGCGGCTCCTGTTCACTTTCTTTAGTTGCTCCGCTGCACGGACCAATGCACAGTTTCCTTTCTTACCTTCGATTACCACCTCTTTAAGACTTGCCAAATGCTTCATGCCTTTGACTCTCTTGGTTTTTCTTCGTAGAAATCTCACGTGGAGTTTCTCGAGCTTTGTCATTGAACTTCTCTGAAATATGAGAACTCCCATACCTTCCAGATCGAAGTTCAAGTACATGTCCTTCAGGGCCGGAAAGCGGGCAGCTTTTGCAACCAGTGCTCTTTCCGTGTAGACGTACGCCTCCAAGTGCAAGTACTTCAGCTTGGGCAGCTCACATATTGGGTCGAAAAGTTGGTCACCACTAAATTATGTCCAAGCAATGGAAAGCTCAACGAGATCATTCAGTGACCCGACCCAATCAGGCAATTTGTCAATGTGGGAGCTGATGCTAAGATACTGGAGGAACCGTGGCGGCGGCTTGACATCATGTAAAAAGTTCAATGATTCCTCTTGTTGACCACGGTTACTAACGTTGAGCCACCTGAGGGAATATAACTTGCTCAGGGATTCAGCAAGCTTTTGCTTAGCATCCTGATTAGGGGGATCGCTGACGACGGCCATACGTAACTCTCTCAACTGTTGTAGTTGACCGAGCTGTTTGGCAGCATCAGGATCACAACCAAAAACTATTTCATTCACCGTCCGTAGTGCCTTCATCCTACAGAGGCCCCTGCGGGCAATCCAACACTTCGTGGAAATGTTACCCTTGTTGTTGATTAGCAGGTGTTCCAATTTTTGTAGCATTGACACAGTCTCCGGTAGATCTTCAAGGTACGTCTGACGTACATCAAGTGTCTCCAGATTCGCTAGCTCACCGACTTCTGGAGGCATCTTATTGATACTTGTACCTTTCAAGCTCAGAAACCTTAGTAAGTACATCCGGCAAACTTGTTTCAAATGCTTGTTTTCTATGCCCGTGCAGTCTTCCAGGTCAAGTACCCTAAGCAGGGTGAACTCGCCCAGCCGATCAAGCAACTTCATGTGATCTTCGTGCCGAAACATGCTCAGTGATCGGACATGATCCATCTGTTGGGGAACGTAGTAATTTTAAAAAATTTCCTATGCACACGCAAGATCATGGCGATGCATAGCAACGAGATGGGAGAGTGTTGTCTACGTACCCTCGTAGACCGAAGCGGAAGCGTTGACACAACGTAGAGGAAGTAGTCATACGTCTTCCCGATCCGACCGATCCAAGCACCGAACGGACGGCACCTCCGAGTTCTGCACACGTTCAGCTCGATGACGCTCCCCGGGCTCCGATCCAGCAAAGCTTCGGGGAGGAGTACCGTCAGCACGACGGCGTGGTGACGATCTTGATGTTCTACTGTCGCAGGGCTTCGCCTAAGCACCGCTACAATATGATCGAGGTGTAATATCGTGGAAGGGGGCACCGCACACGGCTAAGAAACGATCACGAAGATCAACTTGTGTGTCTATGGGGTGCCCCCTGCCCCCGTATATAAAGGAGTGGAGGAGGGAAGGGCCGGCCCTCTCTATGGCGCGCCCTAGGGAGTCCTACTCCCACCGGGAGTAGGATTCCCCCTTTCCTAGTCCAACTAGGATTCCTTCCATGTAGTAGGAGTAGGAGACAAGGAAGGGGAAGGGAGAAGGGAAGGAAGAAGGGGGCGCAGCCCCTCCC